CTTGATTCTCAGGTCTCAGCCTCTTGAGTAGTTAACATAATGAGAGCCTCTCACACCAGCTGACGCTCACTAACTTTGCCTGGGCTGTCCTTGAACTTGTGAGGGAGTTGCCCTTGCCTTAGATCAGGTCATAGCTTTCAGCTGTTCCAGGAGGGGCTACAATGCTTTCTTGCACAGCCTGCTTGCCTCTGGCTGGTCCAACCCATGGCTTGTTGAAGTCGTGTCAGGTTTGTCTGGCAGCTTCTCTTATGGCTTCTCCAGAATGCTTTGGGATATGGCCCATAGGAATATTCAGAAAAACCATGGCTTTTATCAGATAGGTTTGGGAAAGAATGAACTCCCAGTTCTATTTATCCATTGTAGTGATGAATGGCTTTGCCTCCTGTCCACTGAAGAGCGTACTAAAGGAGAAAATAAGTACTCATCATTTCTTTTTTATTTTTTTAATTTTTATTTTTTGTTGGGCATGGGGCCTGAACTCTGGGCCTGGATGCTGTTCCTCAGCTCTTCAGCTCAAGGCTAGTGCTCTACCACTTGAGCCACAGCGCCACTTCCAGCTTTTTCTGCTTATGTGGTGCTGAAAAATTGAGGCAAGCGCTCTACCACTGAGCCACCTTCGCAGCCCTCATCATTGCCTTTTAAAAAATTATCTTTAAGTAGCTATAGAGAGGGTTTCAACTCAACATGTTAGTTTATACCCATAATTTTCTGTTTTGTGGTTCACTGAGTAACCTTGGTTGAGAAAAGCGAGGACCTGGCAGGCCTAGAATAACCCCAACCCTAGTCTCCATCCAGGGTTTGCACACACAGGAAAGCAGAGGCCCAAGAGAGGCAAGAGTGAGGTCAAAGTTGTACTGGGCATCCAGGCAGGTCCCTGAGTTCCAGTCCAGGACACTGTGGGAGGTGACATGAGGGCCCTATTCCATCTTTATTTGGAAAGCAGGGTGGCTTTAGGATGCTGGAGTTGACATCTCTGGTTAGGACTCTTCAGACTTCCATGTGCAGAGAGATGGGTTTGGGGAGCTGAGATCTGAGGCTTAGCCTGAGATCCTCCATGCTGCTGGAAACTAAGTGCCCTGTGGCATTGGCATAGCTGGAGGAGGGGCAGTGGCTAAGTGGTTTCTGAAAAACAGGGCAAAAATGATGGGAAAAAGCTTTGAGCTCCACTGGGAATTGGAGCTGTGGAAACAGCAGCTGCTACCGTTGGTGGAAATATTTCCTGCGCACCAGTGTGTGCCCACTGCCCAGCCTCACAGCAGGGCCCAGGGCGGGGCAAGGACCCTCACAGAGGGAGGTGGGGAGACCACTCTCCTCCCACACCAGCTTCACGCTTCCTTTAAGAACAGCCTCTCTGAGCTCACTGGTGCCCACCAGGTCTGAGGTGTGTATACATCTGTCTGGTAAGTCCTTTATCAGTTTGTTTGGTACCAGTGCAGATGTTCTTAGAGTGGCATTATGAGCGCTAACTATCACTTGTCACTTGTGTGACAATGGGCACTTCACTTGGACTCTGAGGGTTTCACTAGGATGGCAGCCATGGCTGCTTCAGGGGTTGTGAGGCCTAGGTGACATTGCTCTGCACTCAGCTTGGCTACCTACGAGCCCTGGGTAAATGACAGTGTTTCATGTTATCAGTGTTTATGATCTTTGCTCCTGTAGCAGAAGTGAGGGGGCTGAGCTGCTGTGGAGGCTGGGGGTTTTGAGTATATTACTCTCTCCATTCAGAGGAGAGGCTCAGGGCTGGGCAGCAGCAATGCTGCGCTCTTGCCTTGGCTCTTACCTCTCCATTTTTGGATGTGCTCCTCTGTTCTTCACTCCTTGCTTGGGAAGCCCCCATTTACCTGTCTTTCCTGAGGGGGTACCCAGATCAGATGAGGGGGTAGCAGTGATGGGACTGGGTCCTGGACCAGTGCTGTCCCACTCTCAAAGCCATACGCAGTGACAGGGAGGTGCACCCAGGTCCTGCAGGGATGGAGGCTCTGAGCAGAGAGGTGAGCAGGACCATACAGGGTAACCACCCTACCTCCCAGGAGGACCAGGTCAATCCAGATTTTTGTGGACAGTTTTTCAGAACTTAATGTATCTTGATGATACATAAACCAGAACCCTATTTATTTTATTATATATATATATATTTATTTTAATAGTTGTGGGGCTTGAACTCTGGGCCTGGGCACCGTCCCTGAGCTCTTCAGCTCAAGGCGAGCACTCTACCACTTGAGCCACAGCTTCACTTCAGTTTTTCTGGTAGTTAATTGGAGATACGAGTCTTAACAGACTTTCCAGGCTGGCTTTGAACTGCCATCCTCAGATCTCAGCCTCCTGAATAGTTAGGATGACAGGTGTGAGCCAAAGGGGGCCAGCTCAGAATCCTATTATCCATAGATAACATGGTTGGAAATTCCTCTGATCACTGTAAAAGGTTACTGTGTGACAGGTGTGTCACCGTGGGACTTGGGAGTATGGTACATCCCAGGTCTGGTAGTGACAAACTATCTTGTCCTGTTCCTCTCATAGCAAATGGCTTCTCAGCACTTGTCTCATTATCTCACCCTTAACTCTGGAAGAAGATTGATTTCCAATAGGAAATTAGGTATAGCATGTGCAGTACCAATTCAGGGATTGTTGACTGACTGATAGTTGGTACATTGTGAGCTGCTTTCTGCTTACTGGGTTTAGTTGTTGGGTTGGAATTCTTCTAGTGGGCACTCTCTTGCTTGCATTCTACAAGCTGCTAGCAAGGGATTCATTTGTTCTTGAGTTTACAGCCAACCTTACTCCAGGGAGAGTAAAGTATGGAAGGTGGCCTGAGCTTTATGTGTGATTTTATTTTTGGATTTTGAGCTTGAGATGCTTGGTGGCTCAGGAGAATGTGTTAGATCTGGTCCTAGGGCTGGAAGTGACTGGTCGAATCAATCCCCAGGCCCTACCCTGTAGTCTGGGACCAAGTTTAACATTTGAGAAAGAACCTGGAGCCTTCTGGAGATGATAGACCACCAGAGATACCCCAGGGGCAAGGCTGCTTGGGACCAGATCTAAGTTCTTCCTCTCATTGGGTGACTTGGACAAGTCAGACACCTTTCTGGGCCACAGTATCTACATCTAGGAAATAGTTGCCTCAGTGATATTGTGAGAATTGAGTGAATGCCAGACTGGCTATGTGGTTTATGAAAGCTTGCTTAGCAAGCCAGAGGCCGAGTTCAAACCCCAGTACTACGGAAAAAGAATTAAGGAAATGCAGGTAAACTCTTTGGCATGGTGTTTGTGCTTTGCATACCAAATGCTCAAACACACACATGAAGAGCATGCTCACTTATTCTCATTCACTTCCTTTGCTTTTTATTTACTTTTTATTTTATTTTATATTTTTGGTCATACTGGAGATGGAATCCAGGGCCTCATGCATGCCACATACCCGTCCCTGCTGTGCCTTTGAAATGACTACAGGCTTTCCACATTAGGATGGGAAATTATCTTCTGAAAGCACAGATTCACTTGTGGTCTGCATGCTTCTAAAGCGACTTAATGCTTCCTATGGTCCACATAAGCATGTCCACATTCTGTTTGTCTTCAAGGCCTATAATGTAGCCTGCTGCCTATCCTGCTGGATCTTTGACTTCCTCTCCTCCAGCTGCTCCTGGTCCCATCTTCTCCCTCCCTCTCCCTGAAGGAATGTGACAGGTGGATTGAATGGGAAGAATGATGGATGTGGAATTTTCTGTGGCTCGGATAACATATCACCTTGTCCCATTCTGGGGTCAGAAGCATCTAGGCCTTCCTGAGAGGGCGGGAGAGGATGGATGGGGCAGGTGAGAGACCACTGCTCAGCAGTCTGCCCCATCTGTGTCTCGGGGCATCAGACCATAGTTGATTTATTACCCTGGCCTTGCCATGTGCTCAGAACTTAAGAGGAGTCTACTTTTTCAGTGGCTGTTTTCCAGGATCCAGATGCTGCTGGAACTTAATCTCCCTAATTAAATGAGTGTTCAGAAAGTCTAGGTCCATTTCCATTTCTCCATGGAGACTAACACAGTTTTTTTTTTCTCAGAGAGATGGGTCAGGAAGAGAGAGAGAGATAAAAATTAATAGACACATTTGCTAGATTAAAACTTGCTAGGGACAGATAGAAATTGTACAAGGTGGGCCATCAAGATAGCTAGACAGAAAGTGTGGCCATGCTAGAGGTGAGTGGGGTCATGGTTGGTGAAGGGGCCTTTGTGAGGTGAGTTAGCAGTGCTGTATTCTGAGGGAAGGAGGCATCAGAGGGATGGGAGGACTTGGGCAGGGGGTGGGGGGATTCATCATGAGAGCAAAGGCCCCTGTGATGAGGTAACCCTGGGTACCAGGGAGTAGGATGCTCAGTAGGTGAAGGGAAATGTGGGAGATGAGGTTAGGAAGGGAGTGGAAAAGAACATCAGCACCTAGTCCTAGCTGGATGCAGCCATCCTAACAACCAGTTTTCTGCCTGAAAGGGTAGGCCAGCATGCTGAAATACACTCATAACTGAAAGAAGGGGTAGACAGAGCTGGTGGCATATGAGCTGTAGAGGAAGGTTATGCAGTGCAGAGTACAGAGTGAGGTGTCACCTTGTTCTGTGATAGACTGCCCACCCTATGTCTTTGGGGCTCAGCCATCCTCAGCACCTTGTCCTTCCCTGATGCAGCTGGTGATGTCCACTCCTTTAGAAGCACCTGAGGAGGGATTGGGGAGGGAGAGAGAGCAGTGGAGACTGTGGACAGAGAATTTCAGAGGTTGGGGTCATGTTAAACACAGTCTCAGAGCCTACTGGCCCCAATCCTTGCTAATGGAGCTAAAATTGCATATTATAGGCCACAGTGGTGTGAGGGAGGATTGATCATGAAAGCATTAGTTTTGAGGTAAAGGGCAGCACTGGTTGGACTTTTGGGGTTTCATAAGGGCTTTGCCAAAGAGAGCAGGTTGGGGCTAAGAATGTGTAGTCCTCAAGCTGAGAACAAACTTCATCTCTGGCTGCCTATAGATTGCATTTTGAGCCTCAGAAGATCTGATAAGAATGAAGAAATGGGCTAACTTAGACTCAAGGGAGTCTGAGGACACGCCACAAGAAAACTCCTACCCAGACCCCCCAAATGGAGACCCCAACTGCAAGTCACCTCCAGCCAAACCCCACATCTCCACAGCCAAGAGCCATACCCGGCTCTCTGGGAAGGGTGAGTCGGGGGAGGCGTTGCTTATGGATTGCTCTTACAAGGAAGGCAAGCTGAACTCTTGCCCAACCATCACAGTCAGCTCTGCTGCCACCATCCTTAGGCCTGGCGATGGTCCTGCCTGCATCACGTAAGTCTGGAGGCCACTCTAGGCCATGGGTTATAGCATGGGGCCTGGGGAGACTTCAGAGGCAATCTGGCCCAGCATTTGTACTCCTGGAACCTTGTGGGACATGTGGTCCCTGAGGCTGATGTGTGCGCTCATTACCAGCCCTAAACCCTTCTAATTCTTCAAGGACATTAGACAGAGAGGACAGAGAGTTACAGTAACCAGCCCACCAGCCCTCCTTCCTCTTCTGAAGCCGAACAGGGAGGGCAGCAGCACAGCTGACTTCTGGATAGTGTGAGGATGCTTTTGCATTCAGCAAGAGTTATGTCAGCCCTTGAATCCCAGCTTCCTCCAAACTCCTGCTTTCTCAGCCCTAGAAGGAAGACAGGTAGGCTAATGCCTACAAATAGGGTGGAGACATGTATGTTCTATCCTATTATAGTGGCTCCTGGAAAGGTCACCTAACCAGAGGGGTGTCCTTTATGCCATGGTTTTTATTCCCACCTTCTGGTTTGCCTCAGTCTTTAGTTATGGTCCCTTGATAAGTTTCCAAGTCCTCAGTGGAGCCCAGGGCATGAGCTGGGACAAATCCTCAGGGGAGCCCAAGGCATGAAATGGAATTACGTCTGAGATTGTGTCTATTGATTGTTATCCCCAGACAATCATCCCAGGACCCTGTCCCCACTAGTGTGGAGAAGCCCCTCAAGCTCTATGACCGCAGAAGCATCTTTGATGCTGTTGCTCAGAGTAACTGCCAGGAGCTGGAGAGCCTGCTGCCCTTTCTTCAGAAGAGCAAGAAGCGCCTCACTGACAGCGAGTTCAAAGGTGGGCATTGGGATCATGGTGCCCTGGGAGGGCTCCGTTTAGCCTGTTTCTGATTTTCCCTTTGTCTTTCAGACCCTGAGACAGGGAAGACCTGTCTACTAAAAGCCATGCTCAACCTGCACAACGGGCAGAATGACACCATCTCTTTGCTCCTGGACATTGCCCAGCAGACAGGCAGCCTAGATGAGTTTGTCAATGCCAGTTATACAGACAGCTACTATAAGGGTGAGTAGTGTCAGAGTTAGTGTGACAGCCCACAGCATACCTAAAACTGAGGGGGAAGCCAAGGGCTTCCACATTCCTCTGTACTCTACTGCTTGTCCAGCTATAGTGTTGGTTTCTTCTGGTTCTGATGCCTGCTTTCCTCATCTGTAGTCACCTTCTGGGGAGGAGAGTCCCCTGCTCAATTGGTGATCCTTGTCCCTGGAAGTCAGAACTTTTGGCCCTGTGAAATTTCCATTCCTTTCGCTTTCCTCCTGATTCTGTGAGTTTGTACTCATGCTGTAGGACCTTCCTAGACTCCCCTGGGGACGCTGGCATGGCCTCTTGCAGAAGAGTCCATCTGGGTACTTTCAGACTGGTACTACCAGTGGTAACTCCTACCCAACCAAAGCCCTGCCTTGTGTGCATTTATCCTGGTCCTCATAGGACTGTCATCACAAAGCATATAATATGTATCCTCTGTAGGCCAGACTGCGCTGCACATTGCCATTGAGAGACGCAACATGGCACTGGTGACCCTCCTTGTGGAGAATGGAGCAGATGTCCAGGCAGCAGCCAATGGGGATTTCTTTAAGAAGACCAAAGGGCGACCTGGTTTCTACTTTGGTAGGGAGACCATTTGGCAAATATGAAGGGGCTGGAGGAATGATGGTACAGGGACCAGTCCATCTCATTCCCTGGACCCACTGTTGACTGCAGGTGAGCTTCCCCTCTCCCTGGCAGCATGCACTAACCAGCTGGCCATCGTGAAGTTTCTGCTGCAGAACTCCTGGCAGCCGGCAGACATCAGTGCCAGGGACTCGGTTGGCAACACAGTTCTGCATGCCCTGGTGGAGGTGGCGGACAACACAACTGACAACACCAAGTTTGTGACGAGCATGTACAATGAGATTCTGATTCTGGGGGCTAAGCTCCATCCCACGCTGAAGTTGGAGGAGCTCACAAACAAGAAGGGGCTCACACCACTGGCTCTGGCTGCTAGCAGTGGGAAGATTGGGGTAAAGGAGGGGTCTCAGCCCTGAACTGGAGGCACGGGGCATTGAGGGTAGTTTAAGAGGATTTATGTGCAAGACTCTCATGGCAGCAACCAGTATTGCTGGTAGAGTAAGTCAAAGGAATTGTGAGCACGGAGCAGAAGCCAGCAGGGCAGACCTACCATCTTTGATTTCCAACTCTAGTGTCACCAATGTGGTGGGTGGGGATGCACGATGGGTGTGGACTTAGGGAGCGGTGAGTGGAGCCTAGGGTTAGATAGAAGAGGCTACTGGTGTCTTTCCATGGTGAGCAGCAGTTTTGCATGATAAAGAAGGTCCTAAGGGGACAGTGTGGGGTGACCAGGCCCAAGTCCAGGGCCTGTAGATGATGTTAGGCCGTGGAAGGCTTCTGGGGCAGGGGTTGAGGGTGGGGTGAGGACACTGGAATCGGAGGGGAGGGAAATTTCTTAGTACCAGGGGATCCTGGAATCTTGTCCAAGTCTCTTAGGAAACCTGGCTTTACTTTCTGAATTTTGTTTGTTTCCTTCTGGCTTGAGGTTTCCTAGGATGTCATTGGGGGAGGGGAGGGCTAGGGGCCCAGGTATAGTGGGCACAATATGGCTGCAGCTGGAGTTAGAGGCAGTGGGCAGGTGTGGGTCTTGATAGTGGGCAAGAGCAGGTGGGGGCTAGTGGGGAGCCTGGAATCCCCAGTGGTGCTGCCAGGTGGAGAAGCTGAGTTCATTTCATTTCCCAGGAGACCTTAGGGCCTGCATAGGTATATAGCCCATGGCTGGGACTCTAACTAGCCTCTGAGGCCTCTTGTACCTGCTTCAGGTCTTGGCCTATATTCTTCAAAGAGAGATCCATGAGCCTGAGTGCCGGCACCTGTCCAGGAAGTTTACCGAGTGGGCCTATGGGCCTGTGCATTCCTCACTGTATGACCTGTCCTGCATCGACACCTGTGAGAAGAACTCAGTGCTGGAGGTGATCGCCTACAGCAGCAGTGAGACCCCTGTGAGTGCTAGGGTCAGAAGGGATTCCCCATAGCTCTACCTAGCCCACCTTGCACCAGTAAAATCCTACTGCCCCAAGCCTAGGCCCTGAAGCCTCCTCTCCCCCTCTATTCCCATGGGATGTTTTTTTTAAGCTTATAAACAACAGAGGATTATTGTCTCATAAAAACTGGAACATTGAAAAAGTACATAGACAAAGATAAACCCTTCCTTTGTATCATATAAAAGGTTTCATTTGTACCATATGAAAGTTTCATTTTGTTTACATAAATGGGAATCACGCTATATACAATGTAGAACAAACAAGTCTTTTCAACTAATGGCATGCCTTGTAGACATATTATATCAATGCAATTGAGTCCTTCTCATTAAAAAATATTGTTGCATAATATTTGATTGTGGGATGATAGGTGTCCACAGGACATTCCAGTTATTTGCAAGTTCTTGCTGCTACCATGCTGCGGGTTATTTGGTCTAGGTTCGAGGGTTTTTCAATGAAAGATACTTGGAGTTACAACCATCAAAAATATGCTTATTTAGGCTGTGTATGTGTGTGTATGTGTATGTATGTGTGTATCTCCCTCCCCTTCTCCCTCCCTCCCTCCCTCCCTCCCTTCCTCCTTCTCTCTCCTTCCCTCTCTCTCTGTCTCTATCTGTCTGTCTGTCTGTCTGTCTCTCTGCCCTAGGGCTTAAACTCAGGGCCTGGACACTATCACTTAGCTTTTTCTGCTCAAGGCTAGCACTACCACTTGGGCTATACTTCCACTTCCAGCCTTTTCCTGGTTAATTGGAGCTAAGAGTCTTATGGACTTTCCTACTAGGGCTGACTCAGAACCCAGCCTCCTGAGCAGCCATGATCATAGGTATGAGCCACAAGTGCTCAGATGTTGATGCTCTTACTTGAGAATGAATCAATCTTTTCTCTATTGCCCATGTTGCCATGATTTTTTTCTCTCCTAGTCTCTCTTGCCTTTTAATTTCACTTATCATATCATTTACTTATAGAAGGTTTTCATTTTGACAGGGTCAAGCTGCTTAGTCTCTTCCTTTTATAGCTTCTGTGCTTGCTCCTCACTCTGCCTTTTCCACTTCAAGTCACACATTTATCCTTTATTTTGTTTTACTTCTTTTACATGTATTTTATTCTTGGCACTTTATCTAGAATTTGTTTCTGTGTAGGTATTAAGAAGCCTCAACATCACATATTGCAGTCATCCTGTCATCACAGGCAGGACATAAGAAAGGCCCCATCACATGTCCCCTTTCAGAGGACCTTTCTGGAATGGAGTCCAGGAGGGGTGGCGAGGCTTGGCTGCTTGGCCCTATTGTGTATACCTAGGCTGCCATGATGAATCTAGCCTCTGACTGAAAGTCTAGACACAGGAGTTCTCAAAGGGGCAATGCGCATATAAAATGACCTCAAAAAAGGAATTGACCTGGAGGAAAGAAAACTCTGGGGCCATCCCTGACATCTTTGTGTCTCTAAAGGCTCATTGGGTCCAGGAGTAAGGCTTGGTTTAGGGCCTTCAGGCAAGAACTGATAAGAGATCACTACACTGACCAGGGTTACTTGGACCTAAACAAAGTCTCTGGATATAAAACTTTTGCCTTAAAGCATACTTGTAATGACAGTGACCATAATTGGTCCCCTACTTCAAGAAAGGTCTTTCGGGTTCCTTTAAATCTCCTGATGAGATGATGACCACCTCAGCCTGATCCAGGGATGCAAATGTGAGAAGTAAGGAATCTAGAGGCTCTTTTCTTGCCTGCCCTCAGGCATACCTGAAGCAAGCCATACTCTGTCTTAGCCAGCTTCTTCCCATTATTGTGGGAATAATAAAGATGAGGGTTCCCTAAAGTGAGTTTCTAATGGACATAGTTGGACAATGCTATGGGTGCTTACGTGAGCAATTAGGGTTTATCCAATTCTCCCAAATTCACATTGTCCCCTCAAAGACACTGAGACAAGAGGGTGGTCACTAAGAGCCAGAGCTAATACCAGCCCCAGGTCCTGGCTGCTTACTGGTTCAGATGCTCGATGTTCCTCAGCTGTTTGGTAGACTGATGAGACATATGTCTACATGGTGTGAGACTACCACAGGCTGTTGTGAATATACAAGGCAGCCCCTGGTTGGGGAATGACGCTACTTCTTTTTGCTCCCTTAGAATCGCCATGACATGCTCCTGGTAGAGCCCCTGAACCGACTCTTGCAGGACAAATGGGATAGATTTGTCAAGCGTATCTTCTATTTCAACTTCTTCATCTACTGCCTGTATATGATCATCTTCACTACGGCTGCGTACTACAGGCCTGTGCATGGCTTGGTGCGACTAGCGGGTTGGGCCATGGGTTGTGTGGGGCGGTAGAGGGGAGGGTGATTGTGGGTGTCCACTGGATGGAATATTCCATAAGACATCCTCTGCCAGACTCTAGGTCCAGATTCTGCCTCAAAACCCTTTCTGGCTCACTGGAGAGGAAGAAGGACCCTGGGACATCCTCACTGCCCTGGACTCAGCCTTCCTGCTCTCTGGTTGTCTTGAGGTTGCACTCAGTGTCCACTTCTGGCCAACTTCCTTCAACTTGTATGTTGCAAAAATCTTTGAGTACAGGATAGGAAGCACTCAGTTAAAAATAATGCAGAAATCAGGGCTTGTGTCCGCAGGATCAGATGGTGTAAGCTCTGATTGCATGAGAATTAAAGAAAAAGAAAACAGATGTGGTTACTAAGACATTGGGTGGCTCTTGAATATCCTCCCTGATTTTTTAAAGTGAAGTGATCTTGTGGTGGCATGGGTGGTGGTGGTGGTGACGTTAGTACTGGGACTTGAACTCAGGGCCTTGTGCTCTCACTTAGCTTTTTTTTTTTTAGTTCTGGGGTTGCACTGAGGGCCTGGGCACTGTCCCTGAGTTTCTTTGGCTCAAGACTAGTGCTCTACCACTTGAGCCACAGTGCCACTTCTGGCTTTTTCTGGTTATGTGGTACTGAGGAATCAAACCCAGGGCTTCATGCATGCTAGGTAAGCATTCTACCACTAAGCCACATTCCCAGCCTTCACTTAGATTTTTTTTTTTGGGTCCGGTCGTAGGGCCTAAACTCTGGGCCTGGACACTGTCCCTCAGCTCTTCAGTTCAAGACTAGCGCTCTACCACTTGAGCCACAACGCCACTTCCGGCTTTTTTCTTTTTGCTTATGTGGTGCTGAGGAATAGAACCCAGGGCCTCATGCATGCAAGGCAAGCACTCTACCACTGAGCCACCTTCCCAGCCCCCTCACTTAGATTTTTGTTCAAAGCTGGTACCTCAATCACTTGAGCCACACCACTATTTTTGGATTTGGTCAGTTAATTAGAGACAAGAATCTCATGAATTTGTCTGCTTAGGCTGGCTTTGAATCTTGATCCTCAGATCTCAGCCTCTTGAGTAGCTAGACTGACAGCTGTAGAATGACAGCATGTGGCAATAGGGATATCTTATTGGTGGAGTAATAGAGGAAGGGTGGGATTAGTTATGTCTGGGCATATCCCCGAAAAGGGGTCATTTGATGCAGATGGAGGTGGCAATACTGTGCCATGTGATGTGGGGGTGAGTCTTTGGATAATCTATTGAGGAGGGACAAGGAAGACAGATCCTGTCTTAACTGGCCAGTGAATCTGGAGTTGCTAATATTGGTGGCTTTAGCCTATTTTAGTTCTTTCATGAGGTCTTCCTGGAAGTGAAATATTGCCTGAGCTATAGCCCTCTGGGTACACTAGATCAGCTATCTGGGAGAGATGAAAACAGAGACCCAACATGGCAGATGAATTGAAACATTATGTTACAGTAACAGAAGGGAGGCAGTAAAGGTGATAGTGGAGTTTAGATACAGGTGTAAGCATTGGAAAATATTAGTAAAAGACAGCAATAGGAAAAAAAAGAGGAACTGAGTGGGAGCATACTTTTGGAAGGTTCCTTGTAGCTATAATTTGCATCATACTTTCAGAAACTGTGAAGGAGTAATTACTGATTACTAGGAGGAATACTACTGCAAATCTGAGGTGTGACCAGCCAGGTAGTGCCTGCCTGTCATGTGGCAGGCCAGAAACAAGAGTGACATCTGGTGTCACTCCTCCAGTATTTGTACAAGGTGAAGACTGGTTGCTCCTGTTAGTATACAAGAGAAGGGGAGGTTAGAGGTGAAGGAGTTTGGAAGAGTCCTGGTGGGGGAGCTGCCTTCTTTAAGGGGTAGAAGTGGCACCATTGGGATAATCTGTTGAGCTCAGGGGCTGTAGATAGGGGAAGGAGGACTTGATGAGATCTCTCTCATTTTGGATAGAGTAGGTTGGCCAGAGGTTTGAGAAACACCTAATCTCCTGGTTTTTGGGGTCCAGTTTCAGTTGATATTGATGCTGGTTGGGGTAAGTGGGAGTCAGCATGGTTCCACAGCAAAGACTGGATAGTTTATTGAATTAGGCAGGGATATAGTAGATATTGGATCCAGTCCAGAGGTTAGCAGAGATTGCCTAGACATGAACTCATATGGACTAATCACAAGGGGACTGCAAGTGAGGGAGCAGAACTTTAAAAGAGACAAAGGGAAGCCTGGTGCCTGTGGCTCATGCTTGTAACCCTAGCTACTTAGGAGGCTGAGATCTGAGGATCACAGTTTGAGTCCAGACCAGGCAGAAAAGTCCCCATGAGACTCTATCTCCAATGACCTTCTCAAAAACTGGAAGTGGCACTGTGGCTCAAGTGGTAGATATAAGCACAAAAAAACTCAGGGATAGTACCCAGGCCCTGAGTTCAAGCCCTAAAACTGACAAAAAAAAAAAAGAACCAAAGGCAGTAGAGCTATGCAGTGCTAATGTGCCCATACTGAACAGAGGTGACTAAGTTCTTTAATGGATCACTGGGATAATTCATCTTGTCTACTTTTCCTGGTGATTGGGTTGTTAGAGAATATAAAATTTCCACTTCTGTGCAATGTGAATTGTTGGGTGATCTGGGAGGTAAATTCCACCCATTGTCTAATTGAAAGGAGGAAAGGGTGCTAAAGCATGGTATAATATCAGACAGTAGTTTGGAGGTGAGTATAGAAACTCTTTTGCTGATGGTGGGAAAAGTTTGACTTATCATATGCAGGTATTCACCAGGACAAGCGGTAACCAATTTTTTTAATAGAGAGCCTGTGAGTGAAGTCAGTTTGTCAGTCTTGTCCTAGGAGTGTCCCAGATGGACTGGAAAATGTGGGGGGGAGTGTCTGATGTTGGATTGTGGGGTGGATTTTTGACAGAGCAGATCTTCGAGAGAAAGTGTAGCTGGGAATATGTTTAGGGAATAGCTTTTGAATGAATTGTCCATTTGCTATGGAAGACCTCTGGGCTGTGTAAAATTCTCTTTCTTTCCATGTTTGGGCATTAGATTGGATAATATAATAAACATATTTAGAATCAGTGTAAGTTTTAATAGCAGAGGCTGCTGTCAGCAAGAAGTATCTAGATGCTTGTGAGGAAAGGGAAGAAATGTGGAAAGTAGAAGTAAACGAGGGGCACCGGAGATGGCAATGAAGCAGGAGGACTGGGTGGAGAAGCAAGGAATTGACAAGATCCAGGAGTTACCGGGGATGAGCAGCTGCTGCCCACTGCTTCCTAGGTTGCAAGGGAATCCTGGCCCTAACATATGTCCTGGTTTCCCCAAAATGAGCATGGGAGTCAAAGGAAAAAAAGAGCAAGATGGGGCTCAAAAGCAGAGACTTGTTTTTTAACCTGATAAGGATTTCTGGCCAGGGTCAATAATGGTCAGGGTCAGGGGGTGACTTCCTTTAGAGACTGGAGGCACTTTTTTTTTTGTCTACCATAGGGCCTGAACTCAGGGCCAGGGCACATACCTTTTCTGTTCAAGGCTTGCTTTCTACCTCTTTAAGCCATAGCTCCACTTCTAGTTTTCTGGTGGTTAATTGGAGATAAGAATCTCATGAACTTTCCTGCCTGAGGTTGGCTTTGAACTGTTATCCTCAGACTACCAGTGTTAGATTAACCAGACTGGGGGCTTTTCAAGGTCTGAGAGTGAACTGCCTATAGGGCTGAGGAGTTTGCTTAGGGATAGGACTGACATCTGGGGCTGAGTCTGAGTAGTTAGTTCACAGCAGATGGGAGAGACTCAGGTCCTTGAGCCTTTTTTTTAGCTTTTTTTTGGTTGGTTTTGGGGCTTGAACTCTGGGTCTGAGAGTTGTCTCTCAGCTCTTCAGCAAGCATTCTACCACTTGAGCCACTCCCTTTTTTTTTTTTTTTTGGTCAGTCCTGGGGCCTGAACTCTTGGCCTGGGCTTTGTCCTTCAACTCTGCAGCTCAAGGCTAGTGCTCTACCACTTGAGCCACAGTGCCACTTCCAGCTTTTTTTGCTTATATGGTGCTGAGGAATTGAAACTCATGCATGCAAGGCAAGCACTCTACCACTGAGCCACTTTCCCAGCCCCCCTTTCTTAGCTTTTTCACTCAAGGCTGACACTCTACCACTTGAATTGCACCCCACTTCTGGCTTCTTGCTGGTTAGTGGAAGGTAAGACTCTTAAATTTGTCAAGCCTAGTTGGCTTCAAACAATGACCATCAGATCTTAGCCTCCTGAGTAGCTAGTATTACAGATATAAGCCACTGGTGGAAAGCTCTTTGGTTCTCACACTGATCTCATCTCTACCCTGCCTGCCTGCTCCGTTTTGTTCACTTACTTGTTCATAGTCCATTTTGTGGACCTATACTTTTGAACACTGGTTTTGTATCTGGCCCTGTGTCACCAATTGAATCAGTTTGTAAGACTACTCAGTTCTACTCTGGGCGTGGACTCCATTTCCTTTCTGAATTGAGTCTTTCTTGTTCAATACCCAGGGCACATAATTTGCTGCTTCTATTTCTGAGGCATTTTGCTTGGAAATTTGGTCTAAAAAACTCTGGGCTGTGGCTCAGGTGGTAGAGTGTCTGCTTGACTTCAAGCCCTAGAACCACAAACAAATCCCAAACCTGAAATCAGCCCAATAAACAAAACAATGTCCCCAATTACATAGTTAGCTGAAAACTGATTGCTACCCATCTATTAAGATCATTTAATGACTTCAGTAATGATGAGAAATGTGCTAATCAATGAAACACGCTGATGAGATAGTGGTGACTGAAACAAAAGTGTGTGTATGTATGTGTGTGTGTGTGGTGGCCCTCTCTGTCCCTTATCTGTGAGAAGTTCCCATACTCCTGGAAAGCAGGTGCCAGACCAGACATCCTTACTTCAGTACCACAGGCCATGGGAGCAGCGGGATTCCTATGGCATCAGATCTGTAGGAGAGCCTCCTTCACCAGTGGGCAGACCCTAACCAGGAAGACAGCACAGCAGTGTGAAGGATTCTTTGTTTGCTACCTGGAGGCTGCCACTATGGGGAAATCAAGTCCCACAAAGGAGCTTTCTTTCAGGCATCTCTCTATCAATCATCTCTCTATCTCTTTCAATCTCTCTATCTCTTGCTCCTCCTGTCCTACCTTCCCTTCTTCCACCTCTCCAAATGGAGGCTGTCTCTCCAAGTAAGGGGCTGGATCTTAATCACAAGGCTTGGAATCTAGTAAATGTTTGTTGACTGAATAAGTGAATGGAATCACCAATTTCTTTGCCTCCCACAGCCTCCTTATGAAATGAAAAACACTGTTGGAGACTATTTCCGAGTCACTGGAGAGATTCTGTCAGTGTCTGGGGGCGTCTATTTCTTTTTCAGAGGTGTGAGTATTCCTTTGTGCTATGAGAGTCTATTATTATGGAAAGGAGACAAAAAAGCCAAGGGGTCTGTTTTCAATAGGCACATAATGGCCCTACCTGAAGTGAGAGGAGAATAGCTAAATTTCAGGAAAAGTCCCTCAGGGCATTCTGGGCTGGCGTAGGAGACTGTCCAGTGCATGCCTAGGAGCTTAGACTCCTCAAATTTGAGGAAGTCCGGGATTTCCACTGGGAACCTCTCACTGAAAGTAATAGTTAAATCCAGGAGTTGGGTGGAGTCTTTTTTTTTTAATTTTATTTTATTTTATTTGTGAACATACTGTACAGAGGGGTTACAATTACCTGGGCAGGATAATGCGTGGGTGGAAGTCTTTTAAATGATAAAATCAGGATTAGTAGTTTAAATCATCAAAGCTTCTGTTAGGCTCAGAATAATAAAGGAAATGTATCTGTATATTGGACCCATTTTCTTTTAACAAATTTTCTTGCATGTATACTCCACGGCCATTCTTCCAGTATAAGGCAAAAGATTTATAAGGTCTTAAAAGAAAGCAGAGTATAAGGCCGTTCTTCTTAATAGGCAGAATCTTTTCTTTTCTTTTTATTTAAAGAACTTTATTAGCATTTCTAGTTTCCTTGTGGTGCTGGAAATGGAACCCAGGGCCTTGCATTTGCTAGACAAGTGGTCTACCACTGAGCTACACTCGCAGCCCTGAATCTTTTCTTGAATGTGGGATTACCTTTTGGATTTTACTTCATCTTTTTAGCAAAAACTAAAGCTATAATGAATACATGATTTATTATTTTCAGTTTCAGTGTTAAAGAGGGGCAAACTTAGGTGCATGCCAAGAGATTTGAATACAGAATTTGATAAAACAGTTACTGAGATAGGATCTCATTATGTATCCCAGCTGGCCTTAAACTCTTGATCCTCTGCCTCAGCCTTCTGAGTGCTAGGATTGTAGGTGGGAACCACCAGGCCCTGTGGGATCATTATGATTTCCCTCCCTCCCTCCCTCCCTCGCTTCCTTCCTTCCTTCCTCTTTTTTGTCTCTCTCTTTTCTCTTATTTTCTTTCTCTTTCAGTAATGGGACTTTCACTTTTTAACTTTTTACTACAATGTTTAGAGAAAATTAAGAAAAAAAGCACTAGTTAGAAAGGAGAAAAAAGTTCAATCTCACCTTTAAGTAGCAGTAATGGATAATATTCTGGTGACTTTTTCTCTGGCATTTACTTCTAAGTGTACTTATAATTTTACTTTATATTTGGGAAAAAATGGGGTCAGTTCACCCCAATCACTTGATTAGCTTGATCCATTCTCTTCCATCCTTCATAATCTCTGCTTGAATAAACTCCAGGGACTCATGAGATGATATTTAGAGAAAGAGCTCCCTCTCCATTGAGTGTATCCAACATTTCCTGAAGCCTCACTCTGTCTGCTTACCTGCAGATTCAGTATTTCCTACAGAGACGACCATCAATCAAGACCTTATTTGTGGACAGCTACAGTGAGATGCTTTTGTAAGTGATAACGTTGACTTTTATTCTCTTTTGATCTAGTCCTGAGGTGACAGCAGTTAGTTTTCACTCATTCTTTCACTTGTTCTGGGCCTAAATACAGGAGTAAAATCTAGTTTTTAGACTCCAGGCCTAAATCCCAGGAATCCCATGTTAGGTCCAGCTACTTGCCCTTATATGCCAAATAAAGAGACATGGGCAGAGAAGGAGGTTTATTAATTACCTGGCAGCCATATTACCTGGCAGTACATATTCAATAGGGAGAATTGGGGGAAAGTGGTAGGTTCTGTGGCCTGCTTGATCATTACTTTTGTCTCTGGAGAAATTGTTAACCACTTTACCAGGGCCAGCAGGAATGAGGTGCCTGTGGGTTCCTGAGCTTCGGACTGTTCTTTTTAAGATGATAGAAGTTGGCATTGCTTGTTTGAGGGGCTGTTTGCATTCCACTACTTCCTTGTTTTTCTTCTTCTTTCCCCCCCCCTCTGGAACCCAAAGTTAATAGTAAAGTAAGAAGCAGGGCATAGCTTAGATCAGAGGGTACAGATATAAAGTGGGGGCAGGTCTGAGTTGATCAGCTTTTAGTAAACTCACAAGACCCAGAAGAGCCTCTTTTGGATCATCTAGTACACTAGGGCCTTGCTAAACATGTTGGAGCCATGGTAGAAGGCACTCAAGTGTTTATTGCATGTGTGAGTGCATACCCAGTGCTATCTATACCATCCATGCCAGATAAGAGTCAGATGCTCAGATTGACAGACTGTGTTTTAACTTAATGTCTGAGTTAGACGTTTCCTTGTTCATTCTTTCTGTCGGTTTGTCCATCCCTCTGGCATTCTCTGGGTTAACACTTGAAGATTGTGATGAAATATTATTTTTTTGCCTTCAAGAATTTCTAGTCTTTTTTGTTCACCCCTCCACATCCCCCCACCCCTCCACTGGGGTTTGAGCTCAGAGCCTTGTGCTTTCTCAGTTCGCCTGCACAGCTGGCCTTTTACCACTCTAGTCACACCTCCAGCTATGATCTACTGGTTATTTTGGAGATGGAGGCCCACACACTTTCTTGTATGGGCTGGCTTTGGATTGTGATTGTCCAGATCTCCCTCTTAAGTAGTTAGGATTACACGTGTAAGCACCAACACGTCTTGTTTATTTGTTTAAATGTTCTTAGCAGTTTTGTTTGAACTGACCCAACTGGAAACAACCTAGATATCCTTCAACAGGTAGCTTAATAAGCAAACTGTGGTACATACAATAGAATACTACTGGCAACAAAAAAGGCAGAAACCAAGGATTTATGCAACAAGCATGGATGAGTCAAAAGAATGCATTTTACTAAGTGAAAGAATCCAGGCCTAAGAGACTATTGATTATACAATTATATGTATGTAAGATTCTAGAAAAGGCTATTTAAAAGGAAGGCCAGCACACCAGTGGTTACCAGGGTTTGGAGGTAGGATTATAAGCACAAGACACCAGCACTTGGCATGGTGCTATGTATTTTTCAAAACTCATGGAACTATGCAACACAGGCTAAATGTACAGTTTCCAAATTAAAAACAAATTAGATGTCAGAGAGATCTGATATACAATACAAATTGGGACAAATGAATTCAACTGTGTTTCAAATTAATGACATGGCAGACTGAAAGGGATATAGAACAAAAAGACCTGATATGAGGGGCTGGGAAAGTGGCTCAGTGGTAGAGCGCTTGCCTTGCATGCCTGAGGCCCTGGGTTCGATTCCTCAGCACCACATAAGCAAAAAGAAAAAAAAGCCGGAAGTGGCGCTGTGGCTCAAGTGGTAGAGCGCTAGCCTTGAGCTGAAGAGCTGAGGGACAGCGCTCAGGCCCCACGACTAGACCCCCCCAAAAAAAAAGACCTGATGTGACTAAATTTGAAGATGAACATTTTTGGCTTTACACTGTGAGAAGAAAGATGAAAAAAAGTATATGTAAACAGTGTATTCTATTTGGTAAACTTCTTTCCCACAAAATTATGTGTTAGGAATGCTGACTGTTCTGCATTCTAGTCTTTAAGGGCAGGGTTTTTTTTTTTTTCCTTCATCTTGGCTCTATTGAAATTTTGGACTAGAAAATTTTTATTTGTAGTGAGATGAGGCTATCCTGTGTGTTGAAGATTTAGCAATATCACTGGCTTTACTCACTAAATGCCAACAGCTATCTATCCCTTATCTGCCAGGCTGTGGTATGTGTGTGTGTGTGTGTGTGCGCGCGTGCATGCGCACGCACTGAGCCTTGAGCTCTTTCTTGCCTTTTTCCACTCAAGGCTGGTGCTTTACTTCTGTCTCCTCTTCTGGTGTTTTGCTAAGTAATTGGAGATAAGACTCTTAGGGACTTTTCTGCCTGGGCTGGCTTCAAATTGCAATCCTCAGATCTCAGCCTCCTGAGTAGCTAGGATTATAGGCATGAGCTACCAGTGCTTGGTTCATCTTCCAGTCTTGACAATAAAAATGATCACAGATATTATCAAAGGGTTCTATTTTGTATGATGTGATGTGATATGGTATGTGTACCAGAATTGTTCTTAATTAAGAAAAATGCAGTTGTAAAAGTATGATAGTCACAAGAAACCTCTATAAAGTAATCTAGAACCTCCAAGGAATGTCATGCACATGGGATTTTCAGACAGGGAGAACCAGTCTCTGGGTATCTTCACTCATGTTGTCTGTCCTGGACTCCAGGTTTCCCTCATCCTGAGAAGAGAAAAAAGTGGGTATCTTTAAAAAAAAAATGTTGGTCTTGGGGCTTGAACTCAGGATCTGGGTACTGTCCCTGAGTTCTGTTGCTCTCAAAGCTATCACTCTACTGCTTCAGCCACAGCTCCACTTCCAGCTCTTTTGGTGCTTAATTGGAGATAAGAGTCTCATGGACCTTCTAGCCTGGGCTGGCTTTGAACTGCGATCCTCAGATCTCAGCCTCCTTGAATAACAAGGATTATAGTGAGCCACTGGTACCTGGCAAGAGTATATTTCTAACTTGATTTCAGGTAGTGTGTTCTTAGGGCTCATAATTCCATCTTTCCCCCCTAATTTTGAGATTCCTATTCTTTATTCTGAAAAGGCAAACTCTAGCCACAGACAGGGTCTATGAGAAGGAGTAATGTTTTCTTATATTACTCTACCACTTGAGCCATGCCTCCTCTTCCAGTATTTTTTTTTTTTGCTGGTTAATTGGAGATAAGAATATCTCAGATTTGTCTGCCCTGGCTGGCTTTGAATTGTGATCCTAGGATCTCAGCTTCCTTAGTAGCTAGAATGATAGATGTGTGCCACCTAGCATCTAGCCTGCTTTATCTTTCTAAGTTAGCTGTTGGACCCAGGTTTTCTCCTTCTTGACACCTGATACTTACCTAATATCAATTTTGGAATTTTCATTGCTCCTTGCTTTCTCATGTCTTCCTCTTTCTTAGCTTTATCTCTTGTTTTATTTGAACATATGCTTCTGTATTTTCAACTGGTGGAAAAAAGATGATATAACAGCAGAGGACACAGTGATAACAGCCTTCAGTGTGCTTGAATCCTGAGTCACATCACTCACACGTGTTTAGCCATTTCCCATTCTCTTCTTGGAGATCCCTTTAATTTCCTAGGTGGTATTTCTTATTTTCTGAAACCCAACCATGTCTCCATTTTTCTGGTTTACTCTCTTCTTTGGGGGAAGAGTGTCTTGAACCAAAAAACAGGACAAGAGAGAAGTAAAATGTATTACAGATAAAACCACTCTGATTCTGGACTTTATATTAAGATCTATTTTAATTTTTTTCTCTGTAAATTTATTATATCTTCTTCTTGTCCCTTATGTTTTACACTTTTTTTTTTTTAATTGTAAGGCTTGAACTCAAGGCCTGGGCAGTGTCCCTGAGCTCTTCTCTTCAAGGCTATCACTCTACCACTTTGAGCCACAGTTCTACTTCTGGCTGGTTCTACTTCTCATGCAGTGCTTCCTGCCAGGGCTGGTTTTGAACTGGGAGCCTCAGATCTCAGCCTCCTGAGTAGCTAGGATTACAGGAGTGAGCCACCAGTGCTCGTGTTCTAAATGTTTTTTAGTTTTTTTTTTTTTTGTCAGTATGGGGCTTGAATTCTGGGCCTGGGTGCGGTTCCTCAGCTCTTCAGCTCAAGGAGAGTGCTCTACCACTTGAGCTATAGCACTACTTCAAGATTTTTCTATGGTTAATTAGAGATAAGTATTTCACAAGCTTTCCTGCCAGGGCTGGCTTTGAACCGTGATCTTCAGATCCAGCCTCCTGAATAGCTAGGATTACAGGCATGAGCCACTGGCGCCCAGCTGTGTTTTGGTTTCAGGTGGGTTTCTTTTTATCCAGATAACTGTTCTCTCTCTGTTCCTTCTCTTTTTCCTCCTTTTCCTTTTCCTCCTCTTCTTCCTCCTTTCCCCCTTCTTGCTATGAACTTGTGTAGTCCATACTGTAATCCTCCTGCTGACTCACCTTCCAACTGTTGGAGTTTACAGGCATATGCCATTGAACCTGGATTTTTGGACACCAGGCCCAATGTCCAGGAGTCCCAAGTTATATCCTACCAAATAAAAAGACATAGTAAAAGGCAGAGAAAGGAGATTTATTCCACGGCAGCCATGGGAAAACAGCCTTTTAGTACATCCTTAGTTATCTTCTGAGGTACAGCCATTGACTTCAGATTAAATAGGGAGAATCAGGGGCAGGGGATGAGAAAAGTAGAACTGTGGCTCAAAGTGGAGATCAAAGGCATCTCCAAGAAGAGAAGGGGAAATGCCTGAACACATGAGAGTCCCAAATCACAGGATGTGTGGCTGTCTTTGAATCAAGAGCAATTATAGGGACGTTACTATTATCATGTTATCTCTGGAATGGAACAGAAACAAGTTGCTCGGCAGGTGATCTCCTGGGTTTTCTGTCACTTTCTTTAAGATGATAAGAAAGCATTAGTTTGCCTTTCACACAAAATGCTTATTAGTGTGGTCTTTCCTGGCATTCAAGGTGATTTGTTTCTGAGTAGGCTGTTTTTGGAACCTTTTTTTTGGTCCAAGACTGAGATTCAAAGTCTTGATCTGAAGCTTTCACTTGGTGGCTGACTCTCTACCCCCCTTAGCCAGGCCTCCAACCTTATTTTTTCTTTCATTTTTGCATAGTTTTTCTTTTCTCCAAGTTATTTCCTATAGTTTAATTGTTTTTCGCTTTTATGTTAGCAGCTGTCATCATAATCTGGAAATTCTTGATATATGTTTGTGATAAAGAGTGCAGCACTGAGCTAGGCACCCAGGAGGCTGAGAGCTGAGGATCATTGTTCAAAGCCAGCTGAGCAAGAAAGTCAGTGAGATGTTTATCCCCGATTAACCTAACCAAAAAGCAAGAAGTGGAGCTGTGGCTTAAGTGGTAGAGCACCAACCTTGAGCAGAAATGCTAAGGGTCAGTGCTTGGTCTCTGAGTTGAAGCCTCAGTACAGGCACAAAAAAGAAAAAAAAACGCATGGTATACTGGTTGCAAGCTCTTTATGTGTGGACTGGCATTATCAATTTAGGCTTTACTATAGGCAGATTTGGATAAACCAAACTTTATAAAGAAATTTTTTTTTCATCTCAAGCTTTTATCCTGGAAGGAAGAAGTCCACCTCCCAGCTTTCTGAGAGCTTTCTATCACTTATGTTATATAATGTACACAATAGCTATTTCTGTTTCTGGTACCATCTCTCTCTCTCTCTCTCTCTCTGTGTGTGTGTGTGTGTGTGTGTGTGTGTGTGTGTGTATGTATGTATATGTGTGTGAGACTTTGAACTCAAGACCAAAGCTGGTGATCTACATCTCAACTGCCTTTAAAAAAATTGTTATTATAAACGTGATGTACTGTGGGTTGCTATTTCATAAGTGAGGTAATGAGTACATTTCTTTTTGGACAATGTCACCCTCAAATACTCTTCTTTTTGCTCATGATTCAGAGATCAGAGTCTCAGAAACTTTTCTGCCTGGTTCAAACTTTGATCCTAAGATCTTAGGAACTAGGATTACAGGCGTGAGCCACTTCTCAATGTTTTTAATGATGCTGATAAATCTGGGTCAAAGGCCTTTTGCTTTATTATAAGTCTTCAGAGATGAAATTTCTAGTATTCCTTTTTAGGCCCTTCTTCACTCTCCTCCTAATTAGGGGAAGCCTTTGAAGTTCCTTTATTGTCAGGATTGTTTCTCAGTTTTCCCCCAATGCTGTGTTTGGATTTGGCATTCTGGGGTCTGCTAATTCACTTTTCATTTATTTATTGTGTTTCAACTCCCAAATCCATTGTGGGGATCCCATTTGTCACCAGAGATAGCTTTTTGCCTATGCAACTGGTTTAATTAACTTTCTGGCCCAGTTCTGAAGCTGCTGAGGATTCAAGTTGGTGAACCAGTTTATTGATACAATCTTTACAGTTTTCCAGATTCACATCAGAACAGTGGTCACTTTTGCTGAACCTTTTATACAAATTAGGAGTAAGATTGCCAATGTGGTCTGTGGGATGAATGTAGCCAGGAGGACTCTTTGAAGAAGACCATGATGAACCAAGACAAGAAGGGAGTCACTTAACAGTTCTGTCATAGGCCCTCCAGAAGCCCTCCACCTTGTTCACTGGGCTAGGGAGTTGAAGGACATTTTCCTTGGCTTTGTTCCTGAAACTGATGATGTGTCCACCACTATCTGTAGGTTTTTTTTTTTTTTGGTCAATCATGGGGCTTGAACTCTGGGCCTGGGTGCTGTCCCTGAGCTCTTCAACTCAAGGCAAATGCTCTATTGCTTGAGCCACAGTGGTTTTATTGGAGATAAGAGTCTCATGGACTTTCATGCCCAGGCTGGCTTTGAGATCCTCAGATCTCAGCCTCCTGAGTAGCTAGGATTACAGGGTGAGCCATCAGTGCCCTGCTTGTCTGTAGGTTTTTGAAAGAACATTGCTGTTCCCTTAGAGGCCTAGGCTTCCTACGTCATCTATTATCCTGCCAGTCTCTTGTTCCTGAGGACCAAGCAGGAAGGTTGTTGGGGGTTAAAGCAATGTTTCTCAACTATTTTCCGTTATTATCTTTTGGATATTTTTTCTTACTTAAACTTCCCATGAAATTTCAGTGGCTCAGTGATATTGTGTATCCATTTATGTACAGATAGTTCCCAACTTAAGACTATTTAACCTAGGATTTTACTTCATGCTGGCATGTAATTAGTAGGTACTGGGTAGATTTGTGTATCTTCCTGGGATAGCAGGACGTTGCATAATCCTCTTTTTGGTGTGTATGCCAGTCCTGGGTTTTGAACTCAGGGCATGGGAGTACTCCTTGAGCTTCTTTGCTCAAAGCTAGTACTATAACTTGAGCCACAGCTCCACTTCTGTTTTTTTTTTTTTGTGTGTGATTAACTGGAGATAAAAGTCTAATGGACTTTCCTACCTGGGTTGACTTCAAACTAAAATCCTCAGATTGCAACCTCTTGAGTAGCTAGGATTATAGGTGTGAGCCACCAATGCCTGGCTTGCAGGGTCTTCTTTGTGGTGTTGCGCAGAGAGCTGCATGATCATGAGGGGACAACCTACACTCTGATGCTCTGTGTTGCTAAGCTCTAATGTTTAGTAAGTTAAGTGGATCCAATGCTTTTTCAGCTATAATGGGCTTTCATAAGGGACATCAGTGCTATTTTTATATCTGGGCTTTATAGAGAATAAGATCTTATTTCCTACCCTTAACCAAATTTTACCTATTAGGAGAGTAATATTGCCCCTGCTGAGAACTCATGGGCTATTTAGGAAGCAGTACAGCTCATGCAGTACAGCAGTACAGCACCTACACGGGCCTTAGTCTTCAGGCCCACGTGTATAGCCTTGGGTTTTTGATTGAGGGGACCAGGCCTCCTAAGTACCCATGAACTGAGCTTCCTGTCTCTCTACTCAGCTTTGTGCAGTCACTGTTCATGCTGGCATCTGTGGTGCTGTACTTCTGTCACCACAAGGAGTACGTGGCCTCCATGGTATTCTCCCTGGCCATGGGCTGGACCAACATGCTCTACTATACACGAGGCTTCCAGCAGATGGGCATCTATGCTGTCATGATTGAGAAGGTGGTTTTTATAGTCTCTTTTACCCCAGGGGTGTAGAGCATGGCCCCTCACATTACCCAGCCTGTCTCAATCATCTTGGGAGGTGTTGATTTAGCTCTCAACCCATTTCCCAAGAATCATGTAATCAGGCTTTGAGGTGTGGGGGCTTATCTGAACTTTGACCCTCTGAACCCTAAGAGCCCCTCTCCCAACCAGAACAAAGCCCATGGGAGGTATGGGTGAGCGGTAACCCAGCACTCCTGCATGTTCATGGGTTGTTTGCCTGCCATCTTGCTTTGCTTTTTCTAGGGCCCAGATTTGTCTCTAATAAGCTTACTCTCTCTTGTAGATGATCCTGAGAGACCTGTGTCGCTTCATGTTTGTCTATCTTGTTTTCTTGTTTGGGTTTTCCACAGGTAAGGGGATTGGTCAGGCCTAGTGGGAGGGTTGGGCTCCTGACTTCCTAAGGCTTCTTCCTGGGAGGGGAGAAGGAAACATGTGTGTGTGTGGGGGGGGGCAAGACAGTATTATGTCTGCAGGTGACAGAGTGAATGGATAGAGGATACACTAAAACCAGCCTGAGAACTTGGAAATGTGATTCATAAAAAGTTGTCAGTAATTTTTTTTGTCAGTAATTTTTGATATAGGTAATATTGATTGCCTGTAGCATAGCTGTACTGTGACTCAGTTTCCCCCTAGCTTTATTTTAACATAAGATTTAAAGGAGAGTTTTATGAAGAATAACAATAACTTTATTATACTGCTTACTTAGATTCCCTAGATTTACAAATCTCTCTCTCTCTCTCTCTCTCTCTCTCTCTCACACACACACACACACACACACAC